CTTCTGGAGGGCCAACAACAGGGCATAGAGGCCGAGGCCTTCCCCTGATGTTGCCTCCTGGCTCTGGGATTCAGAGGTTTAGTGCCTCTGCATGTAGAGGTTCCCCTCAATCACCATGGCTAGTAGCCACTAGACCTATTCTCCATGAATGTATCTCAGGGGTGTCGAACTCCTTTGTTATGAGGGCCAGATCTGACATAAATGAGACCTTGTTGGGCTGGGCCATGTGTGTCATAAAATGTAATGCCAGGTAATGGAGATATAAACTTTATAAAGGACACAAACACAAAGATTATTTTTTTTACTTAAAATAAAAATATGCTTAAAACATTAGCTCTGTAAGCTGCAAACCTACTTTTTATTTATTGACATTCACCACAGAAATCTCATGCTCAGAGTTCTGAGTCTAGGACCCAGGTTAAAACATGAAATAGCTGAGTGATTAAGGGAGCCTGGCGATGCAGCTATGATGCTGCTGCTGTAGCAGCAGAACTGGAAGTAGGAGATAGCTAGTTCCATTGCGGGCCTGATAGAAGCCCTCCAGGGGCCTAATCCGGCCCCCGGGCTGCATGTTTGACACCCCTGATGTATCTAATCCCCTTTTAAAGCTGTTGATTCCTGTGGCCATCACTACAATATCTGAGGAACTGAAAGGAGATTGCATCTTATATACCAAGGAAAGCTAAGGCAAGTGGAAGGGGCCACAGCTCAGTGGGGGAACCCATGACCTACATCAGGGGTGGACTGGAAGGGCAAAAGGCCACATCCTGGCCCTGGCCCCTCCCCCAGGAGGGAGGGAGAGAGGAAGAATCTGCTCAGCCAGCTGCATGGGCCTTGGCCGGTTGCGCCTTTCTCTACACTGGGCAGGGTGAGGCTGGCTGGGAATGTCCTTCACTGCCCCATGCAGGATGAGTACCTCCAGCTCGAGGTTGAGGTCAGGGTAGCCCCAACAGGGGGCTGTTCCCCAAGATTCTCCCCATCACCTGAATGGCCAATACACCCCTGGACTGCATGCAGAAGATCCCAGGTTTGATTCCTTGCATCTCCAGCTAAAAGGCTGTCAAGAAGCAGATCTGGGAAAGACCTCTGCATGAGACATGGGAGAATGTCTGCCACTCCGAGTATACAATACAAGCATGGGTAGCCCAATGGTTTCACTCAGTACATGACAAATTTGTATTTTCAGCCAGAGCACTCACTGCAAAGTAAATCAAAACGATACTGGGGAGAGCTTTACAAAACAAAAAACACGAGCCTTATGTTTGGCTTCAGAGGCAGAGAGAAAGAAACACATTGATGCTGCTGCTGATGCAGGATTCTAATACACTTCCTGGCCAAAACAGAGTCATCTTTTCTTTCTAACCAGTTCTGTTTATCATATCTATAGGAAGAAAAAAGGCTACTCTGCCCCCTTCTACAGTTCACTAAGAACCTATTTTTTTTCTTCCACTATAGAGGTTGCGACACAAGAGGCTTACACTGCGAATGCTGTGTGGTGTATTGAAAAAGGCTTACATTGAATCGCCGCATGACTCTCCATGTTAAGTTTCGAGCCAGAGGAAGGGTCCTCCGAGCTAACGTCCTATTGGTCACTCCACAACAGCGACCAATCAGAACTGTGCCAATTCTCTGTGAGGGAAGAACTCTCATTGGTTGTTATCCGCACAGCCTCATTGGTTGTTTATTGTAAATAGGCGTGGCTACATTAGCCCGGGAGTGTTTAAAAGGAGCCTAGCTCCCAATGTTAACTGTTCTGGTTATGACTTATTTCAAGCGCTTGTTCGTACCTGCAATAAAGCTGATCACTATTACTGAAATCACTCTCCGGCTCTTTGTTAGCGACGATCTAACATGCTGCATCCTCAGCTAAGCAAGTTGTCTATCTTAACCTTCATGTGATTGTAAACACTGAAGTTGACATCTTTTTTTCTGGTTGGGCTTTGTGCATTTGCAGCAGCTTCATGCAAGGCAGAAATTTATGAAGTTCTCCCTTGCCCAGCATGGTAATTAAGCACATTTACTTGGAAGTAAGCCACATCCCTGACCTGGATAGCCCAGGCTAGCCCGATCTCAGAAGCTAAGCAGAGTGAGCCCTGGCTAGTATTTGGATGGGTGACCTCCAAGGAATACCAGGGTTGTGACGCGGAGGCAGGCAATGGCAAACCACCTCTGAGCATCTCTTGCCTTGAAAACCCTACAGGGGCACCATATGTCTGCTGCGACTTGATGGCAGGAAAAAAAAAGGCCCATTGATTCCAATGGGGCTTACTCCCTAGTGAGAGTGCTTGGGTTTGCAGCCTCAGGGATGGAAACTGCTCCAGCTGTGGTTTTATCCCCCTGTCACACTACAGATACAAGTGCAGCAAGAAGAAAGATGACAGCCCCTCCAAGCCACCTTATTGCTCTGGTGGTGGTGGTGGAAAGTCCCATCAAGTCGCTACTAACTTACTGTGGACCCTGTCGAGTTTTCGAGGCAAGATATGTGCAGAGGTTGTTTGCCATTGCCGGCCTCTATGTAGCCATCCTGGACTTCTCCGGTGGTCTCCCATCCAAACACTAATCAGGCCTGACCCTGCATAGTTTCCGAGATCTGATGAAATCAGGCTAGGCTGGATCATTCAGGCCAGGGCTATTGCTTTGTGGCACAAATGCAAAGGGGCTGGCATCACTCTGACCTCTACACAATGAAACAAGACATCACTGATAGACGTTACCCCTCTCCCTGCCAATGGCTGTGCTTGTTCAGGTCCCTTTCCAGCAACAAAACAGAAGGAGGTACGTACAAAGAAGAAGAAGAGTTGGCTTTATACCACCCCGCCCTACCCTCAGAGTGGCTGACAATCGCCTTCCCTTGCTCTCCCCACAACAGACACCCTGAGAGGCAGGTGGGGCTGAGAGAGCTCTGAGAGAACTGCTCTTCAGCTGGCTGCATGTGGAGGAATGGGGAATCAAACTCAGTTCTCCAGATTAGAGTCTGCTGCTCTTAACCCCTACACCAAATTGGCTCTGCTGCCGGTATCAGTGGCCAAGTAGTTACCCTGAAGGGCTAGCAGACAGGACAGAGGACGAGGCCTTCTCCTGATCTTTCCTCCTAGCACTGGTGTTCTGTTGGCCACTGCCTCTAGATTCATGTACTGGTGGATGTGGGAGTGGTGCCTAGTAAAGTTTACAGTCAGGCTACCTTTAAAGGAGGATAATTAATTGCTACATATGCAAATACATAAAGTAAAGTATGATGTATATTTTATACAACCTGATAGCTTGTAAACCTGAGACATGCTGGTTATTATGAGGGTGGAGGAAGGAAAAGCATCGTAGGCCCCCAAGGGTCAGGGCACAATGCATCAATGAGGAGTATGGCCAAATGACAAAGCATAAGCTTTGCATGCAGAAGGTCCTGGTTTCAGTCCTAAGTGTTTCGAAAGACCCTTTCTTGAGACCCTGGAGACCTGCTCCCAGTTAAGGTAAATGATACTGTGCTGAAACAGACCCATATTCTGACTTGGTGTAAGGAAACCTTGTGTGTTCAGCGCATAAAGCATGCTATGCTCACCATTTCTGATATAAAGGCAAGGTCACCCAGTATTTGGGGGCAGGTTTTGGCTTTGCCTAGGTGTCTCAAAAGTTCATGAAGCTGTATGGATGAGTCATATGCCTGTACTAACAGGCAGGTTTAGACCCATCAGAGAGCCAGTTTGTGTAGTGGTTAAGTGCGCGGACTCTAATCTGGGAGAACCGGGTTTGATTCCCCACTCCTCCACTTGCACCTGCTGGATGACCTTGGGCAAGCCATAGTTCTGGCACAGCTGTCCTTGAAAAAGAGCAGTTTCTGTCAAGAGCTCTCTCAGCCCCACCTACCTCACAGGGTGTCTGTTGTGGGGAGGGGAAAGGAAAGGAGTTTGTAAGCTGCTCTGAGACTCCTTTGGGTAGTGAAGGGCGGGGTATAAATCCAATCTCTTCTCCTTCTTGAATCTGATTGAAGTGTGATTTGGGCAGGCAAGAAGAAATTGCCCATGCAATCCCACACATGTCTAGCACCTGGTTTGGACTGCCCCGCTATGCATGGATTACTGCTAAACACACAACGTTAGCACAGTGTCCACCTGGGCTATGGATCTCTGGCATGCGACAAAGGCACTCAAAGCCACTGAGAGCCTTATTATTGGGCACATGAAAAGCTGCAGAGGCCTTCCTAGCCACCGGAATCATGTTTAAATCATACAACTCCAGAAAATTGCTTCTGCCACCGAAAGACTGGCTCGGTGGCCTAATCCCTCCTTCGAGAAGAAGTAGCAAGAATACTGCATCACTTCCACTGCTGGTGGCAAGGTTGCCATTGGTGGGCTGGCCCTGAAACTGAACTTTTAAACACATACATTTTGCACATGAAACTTTCGCCAGCCTAGAGGCTGATGCTGGAAAAAACTTTACCATTAAATTTATGTATGTCAAGCTATTTGTAAAGAAAAGGCCAGCTTAAAAAGGATAGTTTCCAATCTTATTATGGGCTCTCTCATTCACTTGCAGGAATGATGCCAGCTCTCAGGCACAGCCGTTGAACAAGGGAGGCTGGATTTCTGGAGACCGAGGCTGGGAATGCCCAAACCTGGGAGCTCCAGCTAGTTCTGAGAGATGCCTCCTGCTGGGCAGGAGGGTGCAAGGAACCCAAAGACCGCTATGTCCAAGTGAAAAAAGCCAGGAAATTGTACTATTGTGACTATGCCAGCCAGTGTTTTATATTTTGTAGGAATGCAAGAAGGAATCTGTCACAAGGCAAGGCAGCAAGTTAACAGTTTAATACTTCCTGCCCAGCCCTTTGATCATCTCCCTTTCCCCTTTAGAACTGTTCACATTTCAGATTTTTGCATTTGATGCTGAACTTTAACGTGCAACTGAATCTTATCACAATAACAGCCTCTGTTGAGGAGGAACAATTGCCATCTGTTTTTCTGCTGCACAACTGCCCTACCCCTCTTCCCATGGCAACAGCAATAACTTACATCTTCTGCCTTTTCCTTCTGAGAAGACTTCTTGGGCTCCTTTTCTCTGTTGTACTTCCCACTCATTTGCTTGTCAGTTTGGTCTTTCTGCCCGAGCCCCACAGGAAGGCTTCCATCTGTATCAGATGCATCCAGCTCCTTTTCTAGCTCTTCCATCTCCTCCGGAGAGAGAGTTGACAATAAGTTGTCAATGTCTGGATCTTCACTGACTTGCCTTCTGTATTTGGCTACCTTAGACATCTTGGCAGTTTGCTGGTGAAGTACAACTCAGATGGGTATGTGTGTATATTAGAACAAAAAAGGTAAAGAAAAAGTAGCAATTCAACAAGATTTCTGTGAAAAGAGTCCAGTGAAATAAGGTTCTTCTTTTCCTCACTTTGGAGGTGTTGAAATGTTAAATGTAAGCAACTGTGACTTCCCTACAGCCTGGAATATAATGGTTATGCAGAAGGAGAACAGCTGGCCAATGAAAGACACAGCTGCAAATCCTCTCTCAGACAGACCAATCAGGCTTGCCAGGAGGTGGAGCCGTTGCCTATCTGAGGAGTTTGAAACCTGAGGACATTCCAGAGAATCTTGAAGAGCTTCATGACCAAATTTAGTCCTGAACATTTAGCTTTTTAACAGCAATGGGAGAGAAAACATGCAAAACCCCAAACCAAACAAAACCCAAGAACATACAGGCAAAGTCCTAGATTTAGATAGTAAAACCAAAGTGTCTAGGGTATGTCTAGAAGTTTCTTGACATTCTGACAGGAAATGCATCCAAACTGTTTCTAGTATATCTGCTGGGTCCACATCATGTCGAAAAAGTTTTTCTGGCATTCAGCACCCATCTAATTAACAGCTCTCCACTCTATTTGGTAATCAAATATGGGAGACCAGGGCATGCTTGTGGTTTTTACTTTCCATTTGTTAAAATACATGATCTGTCCTTCCTTTCAAAGTAAATCAGCATTGGGTGTTGCTGGTTCTCCTCCGGAAGGTTATCCAGTATCATCCTTTCAACAAAAATAAATGTATAGAAAGGGGCTTTTTTTTAAATGCACACTTTCAAAACAGAGTTAATTACACAGTCTCGTTAAGCCAGTGTGTGTAGTGCCCAGAGTGTTAGCATTAGATCTGGGAGACCCCGGCTTAAACCCCTGCTAGCTTGGTGACCTTGGGCCAGTCACTCTCTCTTTCTCCTCCCCCCTCTCTTCCCCCCTCTCTCCCCCTCAACCTACTTTACAGGGTTGTTGTGAGGATACATGAGGAGAAGAGAACTGTGTTTGCTGCTCTGGGTTCTTTGGAGGAAGAGTGGGATAAAATATGCTAAATAAAAAGCACAGAGATGACTTTATGCAAAAATTCAGGAAAGCAAACTCTATCAGTCTTAGCAGTGAATAAATCTTCACAGGATCAGGCTGCACGATTGGAAGTTCCCTGGTATGTGCTGCTGGAAATTTATTAATGAACCGGCCTGCAGCCTATCTAGAAATATATGGAAAAGTTCCTAATGCCATTATTTCCAATATTTGACAACCATTAAAACCCTTCAAATTTGACATATATTCTGAAGCCCATTGTCTAGTTTTGTTTTTCTGGGCAGCAGGGAAGGAGGCTGGGCAGCAAGAGGGGACAATGACGCAGCATAGGCAGATTATGTACATGACAGGAATGTCATCCAACCACAAGAATTTCCCCAAGTACGATTGCCTCCATTGGTGTATTGGTGATCAGTGTTTCTACTGTCTGCCTATGTGACATCTTCCTGGTTTAGAGAGGGCTTTTCTGCCTCTATATAACTAGGGTCCTACTTGCCTGAGGTTGGTACTTGATCATCTGTGACTTTTTGCATCCTAAGTAGGCCAGGAAAATACTTTGCTTGTACTGGCTGTCAAACAGGCATAACAGATAGGGGTGGGGGTAGAGGAATAAAGGTTATGATTCCCTCCCGAGGTCATTTTGAGGTATATTGTCATCCTCAAGTAGGACATGGTTGGATCCCCTGCATCCCTTCCCTTCTCTCTGCTCTACTCTTGTTCCTCACCCTCTGGAAGAAAGCACAGAGTATCTTCCTCCTCCAGTTCCCATCGTTCTTTCAATATTAGGCAGCAAGCCATACTTAGCCAGCAAGCCTTCCTGAACCCCAGTGAGATCCACTCATCTTGGGACAGTTTGTACGCTGTTTTGGCACCTCCTTCTTACATTGCCCCAAGCAGTTGCTTGAATTCCTTGGTGGGAGAAATGGCCCCGGCCCCGCCCCAACAGCTAGGCAAGCAGTGCAACCCTAAGAACACTTTTATGGGAGTAAGTCCCTTGAAAAGACTCAAACAGGATTCTGAGTAGATCTATTTAGGATTGCTCTTTAGACCTGCCAGCCTGCCTATCCCAAAGGTGACTGAAGACAAGGCTTTGTTTTATACTAGCTGGAAGGCAGGCTGGAAAGATGGAGCGGAAGATCGAGGCAGAGGCCCAGACATTTTTTTGTCTCCCTGGTGAAAGACAGCCCATCTGCTCTGCAGACAGATTGAGGAGAGGAGGGTGGATTATTTTAAAGTGATGTTTTTATTTAATGTGCATACATATTGTATGAATGGAGGCAGAGACTACGATTAGGGCATGTCTTGTGTCTCCTCGTGTGCTCCATCTTTGTAGCAAATTAATAGGATTTCTGTGAAAATGGCTCAACAGCTGCTAGACTGGCTCCTCACACAGACTCCTAGGAAAAGAGGGGAAGGCTTAGTCAGACGTTCTTCTGTGCCTCCACAGCAAGTAAGAATTTTACAATGACATCCTAAGTTACACCTTTCTAAGCCCATTGGCTTCTATGTACCTAGAAAGGTATAACTCTGTTTAGGATGGCATTATTCATTACCTCTAGAAATGCTTTCTCCTCTTTACCTGAAATTTGGGAGGAAGGATCCCTTGGTTGAGGGATGCAGTTTCGTCCTAGTAGGATAGGTGAGGAGAATGACACCCAGAAATGTGTCTTCCTTTGAAAGCAAAGGAACTGTTGGGTTTATTTCCTTATAAGAAGAAGAAGAGTTGGATGTATACCCCATTCTTCACTGAGAGTCTCTGAGCGGCTTACAATCCCCTCCCTCTCCCCACAACAGACACCCTGTGAGGTAGGTGGGGCTGAGAGAGCTTTGAGAGAACTGTGACTGGCCCAAGGTCAACTAGCTGGCTGCATGTGGAGAAGTGGGGAATCAAACCCAGTTCTCCAGATTAGAGTCTGCTGCTCTTAACCACTATATCGAACTGGCTCTTAACCACTACACCAAACAACCAACTCTATGTCTGACATTAACAGGGCCATCCTAAACAGAATTTCACCTTTCTAAGCTTATGGGCTTCAATGGACATAGAACTCTGCTTAAGATTGCCCTGTGAAGAATCCAACTCTTAAAAGCTACATATATGGCATACAATTAAACTCCAAATCTGACTTTTTTCAGGGTGGGTGGCACCTTGCTATATATGCCTGTCTCATTATTATGAGTACATTAAAACACCATTTAGACCCTTCAACCTTTCTCTGAACATGGTCTGTTTCACACTCCCAGCCTGATTTTGGGATAAGTGGAGCTGTGTCGCCGCTGCCGCCAGTGTCTCTCTGTGTCTAGGAGTGAACTAAACAGCTTATTCCTTCTTCATTGAAGACACCAGAAAGGTTGGATGGCTTGTATTATAACAACAACAACAACGAATATTCTTAAACAAATAAATAACGCAAGATACACTGCCTCTGCCTTTACAAGCTAGCTCAGAGGCAAGCAGAGCAAGAGGGAGTGCAACAGCTGTGCGTCCTGCCTCATTCCTTCACCATTCCCCCCGCATCTTACTTTTCTGGCTGCCATGGGACAACACTGGAGTCTTAGTGCTTATTCACAGCCAGCAGAGAGGAGAGCGGCAGGAGAGGAACTGTTAGGACTGCAGCCACTGCACAGTCCCCTGCTTCCTCAGAGTGCTTAAAGGCAGAGGCAGAGGCAGAGGCTTCGAATTAAAACCTGGCCTCCGTAACCAAGCAGAAAACAGCATAGTGGGTGTCCAGCATGTCTGTTACTCCCAAAAGCTTTAATTGGAAAGTGGTAGGGCCTGTTAAGGACCACACCACACAAAAAAATGAAGTCTAGCATGCTCATTTACATGGGAGGCAACAGAAGCAAGGGCTTCTGTACTTTTTAGAAAATATGGAAGAGGTTGTTTTGGAAAGTGCAGAAGTGCTGAGAAAATTCCTTCTTCTACACAAGTACTAACAGTGCAGTGCAGGTGAACTCCACCACTTTCTTAGTGTTTCTGGTTACCCCACATATTTGGGAAATGAAGTTTAAAAACTGCAGCAGACTTTTGGACAGGCCTAATAAATCAACATCACAGTAATCCAAGTCTACGCCCCAACCACTGATGCAGAAGAGGCTGAAGTGGACCTGTTCTATGAAGACCTAGAACACCTCATAGAACTAACACCAAAAAATGATGTCCTCATCATCATAGGGGACTGGAATGCTAAAGTAGGAAGTCAAAAGGTAACCGGAATAACAGACAAGTTTGGCCTTGGAAAGCAAAATGAAGCAGGACAAAGGTTAACAGAGTTTTGTCAAGAGAACACACTGGTCATAGCGAACACCCTTTTCCAACAACCTAAGAGGCGACTCTACACATGGACATCACCAGATGGGCAACACCGAAATCAGATTGACTATATAATTTGTAGTCAAAGATGGAGAAGCTCTATCCAGTCAGTAAAAACAAGACCTGGAGCTGACTGTGGCTCAGATCATGAGCTACTCATTGCAAAATTCAGACTTTAACTGAAGAAAATTGGGAAAACCACTAGGCCATTTAGGTTTGACCTAGATCGCATCCCTGATGAATATACAGTAGAGGTGAAGAATAGATTCAAGGGTCTAGATTTGATAGAGTGCCTGAAGAACTATGGACGGAGGTTCGTGACATTGTACAGGAGGCAGCAATCACCACCATCACAAAGAAAAAGAAATGCAAGAAAAGCAAAGTGGCTTTCTGATGAGGCTTTACAAATAGCAGAGGAAAGAAGGAAAGCGAAAGGCAAAGGCGAAAAGGAAAGATTTACCCAACTGAATGCAGATTTCCAGAGAACAGCAAGGAGAGATAAGGAGGCCTTCCTGAATGAACAGTGCAAAGTAATAGAAGAAAACAATAGAATGGGAAGGACTAGAGATCTCTTCAAGAAAATTGGAGAAATCAAGGGAGCGTTCCATGCAAAGCTGGCCATGATAAAGGACAAAAACGGTAGGGACCTAACAGAAGCAGAAGAGATTAGGAAAAGATGGCAAGAATACACAGAAGAACTATACAAGAAAGACCTCGATGTCCTTGACAACCACGACGGTATAATCACTGACCTCGAGCCAGACATCCTGGAATGTGAAGTTAAATGGGCCTTAGAAAACATTACTAACAACAAAGCTAGTGGAGGTGATGGTATCCCAGCTGAGCTATTCAAAGTCTTAGAAGAGGATGCTGTTAAAGTTCTGCACTCCATTTGCCAGCAAATTTGGAAAACGCAACAGTGGCCACAGGATTGGAAAAGATCAGTATACATTCCAATCCCAAAGAAGGGCAATGCCAAGGAATGTTCAAACTATCGCACAATTGCACTCATATCACACGCTAGCAAGGTCATGCTCAAGATCCTACAAGCTAGGCTTCAACAGTACGTGGATAGAGAACTACCAGAAGTACAAGCTGGGTTTCGAAGAGGTAGAGGAACGAGAGATCATATTGCCAACATTCGCTGGATTATGGAGAAAGCAAGAGAGTACCAGAAAAATATCTACTTCTGCTTCATTGACTATGCTAAAGCCTTTGACTGTGTGGATCACAACAAACTATGGCAGGTCCTTAAAGAGATGGGAGTACCAGACCACCTCACATGTCTCTTGAGAAACCTGTATAAGGGCCAAGAAGCGACAGTTAGAACCGGATACGGAACAACTGATTGGTTCAGCATAGGAAAAGGAGTACGACAAGGATGTATACTGTCACCTTGCTTATTTAATATATATGCAGAGTACATCATGCGAAATGCTGGCCTGGATGAATCACAAGCGGGAATTAAGATTGCTGGGGAAAAGATCAACAACCTCAGATATGCAGACGATACCACTCTAATGGCAGAAAGTGAAGAGGACCTAAAGAGCCTCTTGCTCAGAGTAAAAGAGGAGAGCGCAAAAGTGGGCTTGAAGCTCAACAGATGGCGAACCTCAACAGCATGATAAAAAGTAGAGACATCACCCTGCCTGTGCTGCCCCAGTCAGCATTTAACTGTAGCTAAGTAGAACTGCCATATATCTTTAAGAGCAGTTTGCCCCTGGGAATTGTAGTCTTTAGTTAGGCATCCCAATACATTCCTGACTGGCTGATTAACAGTCATTTCCTCTGCCAACAAAAGTCTGCATGGTCAAAGCAATGGTATTCCCAGTAGTCATGTATGGCTGCGAGAGTTGGACTATAAGGAAGGCCGAGCGCCGAAGAATAGATTCTTTTGAACTATGGTGCTGGAGAAGACTCTTGAGAGTCCCTTGGACTGCAATATCAAATCAGTCAATCCTAAAAGAAATCAACCTTGACTGTTCCCTGGAAGGCCAGATAATGAAACTGAAGCTCAAATACTTTGGCCACCAAATGAGAAGGGAGCACTCACTGGAGAAGACCCTGATGCTGGGAAAGATTGAAGGTCAAGGAAGACGGGGACGGCAAAGGATGAGATGGTTAGACAGTGTCATCGATGCAACGAACATGAAATTGAGCAAACTTCAGAGGACAGCGGAAGACAGGAGGGCCTGGTGTGATCTTGTCCATGGGGTTGCAAAGAGTTGGACTCGACTGTGCGACTGAACAACAACAAAAATAAATCTGGAATTGTGTGTCAGTGCTTGAGCTTTGGAATGACATGATTTTTTTCACACAAACTGGCTGCTCACTCCCTGTGCCCTCCTCCCTGTCTCCTCCTAAATATAAAGGTTATAAATTATATGCCCCATCTGCTGGCAACCTCTGTTATTGCAGAGGCTTAGCACAGTAACTTCTTAAGGAGGGTAGGTGAGGAAACAACCATCACTTCCAGACAGTGTAGCTACAGGGCAGTGGAGTTTTTCATGCAGCCATGCTGTCTGAAGAAAAAGACAACTTTCCTCATGACCAACAATCATACATTTCTACCTCAGGCATCATTTGTGACACTATTAGAAGAACCAACAGCAGCAGCCATATCAAAAAGGGAAGTGCCCCAGCACAGACTGTAATTTAATTCATGTTATGTGCTAACAATGTCCTTCTGCTATTTAGTGGTCAAACTGGTCAGACTGTCTCAAAGTGAATGATGGTGCAATCCTAAACAGAGTTATGTCTTTCTAATTCCATGGTAGGCTTTGGAAGCAATTTTAAGCATTCTCAGAAGTAAACCCAATTTTATTTGATGGAGCTTACTGCCAGAAAAGTTTTTATAGGATTGCATCCTTAGCAGGGATTGCACTTTAAATAGTCACAGATCACACATGGAAAACAGAAACACTCAGAAAACGGGGCAGGGGGCATTTCTATCTGCTGGACATAATGCAAGCCTAAGCATGTATTCTAAGAAGTAAATTCCATTAAGCTCAATATGGCTTACTCCTTTAGATTTGAATCTTTGAAGAGTCTTTAATAGTGGATTATCTTCACACACAGTATAGTGTCTCTTGTGGTCAACATTAGTCACATTTAAGAAAAAGATATGCTTGAGAATATGTTCTATATATCTACTGCATACTAAGGGATTATTCTCTAATGCTGTAGGCTGTTTTACACAAACATCTTCATACTATACATTTTGAGTGAGTAAAACCTTGTCTTTAAAAAGAATTCACTTATTCCAAAAGAGGAACAAATAGTTTATTTCAATGCTCCCGAAATAGCTAATTTTTCTATTTGAAAAGTGAAGTTCTCGGGGACAAAATAAATAAATAAAAATCCCCTGAATTGTTCCAGTTTTTTCTCCCTGGGCCTTGATATCTATATCCAAGACGGGCATTATCCCGTAAGAGTGCGTGGGAGACGCTTCCCTTGTCACCCCCGCCTCCTTAGCTCCCATGTGGGCTGCAGAGGAGCTGTCCAGCCCGTTTCCAGAGCCAGTGCGCTGCCCAAGTGACCCAAGCCGTCTGTTGGGGCCCCGAATCTGCAAAGAGATGACAGTCACTCCGCAAACCACCCTCAAGTCGGTAGGAAGGGGACGAGAGGGCACCCTCCTCCTTCTCCCAAGTGACCCAAGCCGTCTGCTGGGGCCCCGAATCTGCAAACAGATGACAGTCACTCCGCAAACCACCCCCAAGTCGGTGGGAAGGGGACGAGAGGGCACCCTCCTCCTCCTCCACTCATGCCACTGCCACCGTCAGCCAGAGGGGGCGGCACAGGAGGAAAGGCGCCCCCTTCCTGTTTTTAACAACCCGTCTTGCTTGCAGTCTAGAGAGGATAATTCAAGAGCTGCCTTGTAGCAGGAAAATAAAACAGGAGGCCGGTGGAACCTTATAGACTAAGAAAAGTGATTCCAACGGAAGCTTCCGTGAGTCAGAGCTCACCTCACCAAATGCGTGCATTAAAAGCAAAAAGAAAGAAAAGAAAGAAATCCAGCCGCGTGCATCTGATGAAGAGCTCTGACTTGCGGAAGCGTACCATGGAATCAGTTTCCTTAGTCTTTAGGGTGCCAACACCGGACTCCTGTTTTAGTTTAGATTCCAATACGTCGAAATCCTCACTGGCAATTCCGGTCTAAAACCGAACACGTTTCTCACTAAACTTCCAGTGGAGAGTTTGCAACAAGACTCAGGGGAACCACTTTCCCCAGCGGCCACTTTTAAATATAACGGAAGTTCGTACTGGTACGCCGCTCTAGATTTTTTTGTTACCTCTATGGTTTAGAGCCTACGACACCCTTTGGCCCTGCCCTTCAACCTCGGCGACCAATGGCGCTGCGCTCTCGCCGGTGCGAGGGTGGTAGCCGGAGATCACGTGATCCGCATGCCGGTAGAGCACGTCGCACGCAGGGGAGAAGCCGGGAGCCAAGATGGAGGAGTACGCCCGCGAGCCCTGGTAAGCCACCGAGGGTCGCTCGGTCTCTTCTCCTGCGTCAGCCACTGGCGGGGCGAGGCTGGGGTTTTCTGCGGGCCGGGCGCCGCGGACAAGCTCCGCAATGCTTTCTCTTCTCTTGTATCTGAGTGGGAAAGTTGACCTTGGGGAGGAGTAGGTCGGTCATTCATTCATTCCCCGTGGAAGCTTGTGGTGAGGGCGCGCTCACATCCCAAGATAGGCTCAGTGGGCATGAGTGCCAAGTAACTGAAGGTGAAGAGGCCTTCAGGGTAATTAGCTTGTGAATTCTGATACGCTTGTCTGTGGGGTGGGGGTGGTAAATTGTGGTCCATCAGTTTCTGACGGGTAGCGTAATGCCTGCTTGTTGCTGGGATTCTGGCATAGAATGCTGGACCAGGCTGATCCAGTTTATTTGCGCATACTCACTGATATTCCTTCTCTGTCATAGAATGCTGGACCAGGCTGATCCAGGTTATTTGCGCATACTCACTGATATTCCTTCTCTGTTGAGAGAGCCTGAACATGCACTGTTACTTCATGCATTTGAAGCACATTGTGCTGTGGAAATTATAGTATTAAAACATACACAAGACTGACCACTCCCCTGTATTCTTGAGGTTGAAAATAAATTAGGTGCAAAGAAAAATACCCCTAGCTTGTGTTTATAGAGATCTTAAGCAGTCCTATAAGCTTGCTTCCTCCTCTTCTGATGAACGTTTTGCTTTAAACCCATTAAAAAGGCAGTGCCTTTTTTTGGGGGGGTGGGGGGTGTTACAACTTTGTACAAGTACCATATATGTTAATACCAATATAAGCAAAATAGCAAAGTCCCAGCCCCCAGAAAAATCTTACAGGTGATACAAGGGCCATTCAGATTTACTACTGTAAAGCCCCGGTCACACGGCAAAGTTGCCGCGGGAGAGGCACGGATGGTGGGCGGATTATCCGGGTGCGATCACACCCCAACATCTGGGAAGTGGAGCACACCTGTGGCTTACTGCTGACAATGCGCCTTAAAAAACTAGTACCTCCAAGGTACTAGTAAACGTTTGCCACGGGCTGCCTCCAGATGCCCGTGGTGTGATCGCACTGGTTGCTTGCCAGGTATTAGTCAGGTGGATGAAACTACATGTTAGGAGAAGCATGAAAATGGCAGTTTGGTATCCTCCCTGTATGCTCAGTAAAGCTTACTACAGGGGGAAACACCCCTAGCCCCTTAGGTCAGCAAGCATTATGTGCAAGCTTCACTACATGTTAAACAAGGAGCAAACTTGCTGCTTATTGTTATAGTTTTCATTTTAATTGGTATCTATTTTTTAATATTGCATTAGCTTAAGTTTTGTTTTAATGACTATAATCTGCCTTTGTTTTTTGCGGGCGGGGAAGGGGAAAGAAAGGTAGGCTAAAGATATTTTAAATGAACATGAGGTTGCTAGTTTCAGCAACACTTCCGTGTTTCTCAGAATCTGTAGTGCCACCCTCATTTTAGCTACTGTGACAGAAACTTAAATGGGCTTTGGTAACTGGGTGGGGCTTCGGGATCATACTGCAAAATGGCATATTCATGAATTGTCTTCGCTGGTTTTGGATCTCACTTGAGGTATCTTTCTTTAGGGCTGGCACAGGAGTTGTTTGACAGGTCGCAGAGTTAGTTGACTGCCTGTTATTTGGCCACAGTCAGATATTCCAAGAAGCCACGAATGCCACTGTATAAATAACAGTTTACTTTTCTGAAATTTTTATTTCATTCAGATGTCATGTGTTAGCAAGACCAGGAGTGCTTGGCTACAAAAGCACAGCAGAGCGTCTGTTACTGGCCACTTGCAATAATAGCAGGCATCGCCAAACAGACACTTACAAATGTCTGAATAGCTCATTATTTCGTATTATTTCTGTCAATTGTTTTGGAACTATAGGCTGAATGTGCTGTTCCAAAGTAAAAGCCAAATAAAAGGACTTTTCAGTGAATTGCTCACATTTATAGAAATCTGTACCTAGCATTGCTAAAACTTAAATTATCTTTCTTAGAAGTTACTATGAACTGAATTGTATTTGTATTTAGCATAAGAATACCTGGTGATGGTTAAAGTATCTGTTGCCCTAATTAAATTAGCGGTTCAAAAATACCAGCATTTAACCAACCAGAACCTTTTTTGCTTGGTCAGATGGACAACTCTAGCTTCCTTAGTAGCTGGAATGGCTTTTTTTGTTTGCTTGTTTTGGGCGAAGGCCTGTGGTACAGTAGTAGAGCATTTGCTTAATTTGCAGAAGGTTCCAGGTTCAATTTCCAGCACCTCCAGTTAAAAGGATCAGGTAGTAAGTATTGTGAAAGACCTCTACCTGAGACTCTGGAGTGTCAGTACTGACCTTGACAGATCAGTGGTCTGTCACGGTACAAGGCAGTTTCATGTATTCATGTTTACCTTCAATGAAAAGGTGTGAGTGGGTAGAATATAGGATTGATCCAGTCAGATTGTTGCAGGAAGTTTGTTATCATTATTCTTGAAAATGTTATTAAGTATATCTAACTGATTGATTAGATATTGAGAGCCAGTGTAGTGGTAGCCTAGGATCTGAGAGACCTAAGTTCGAATCCCCACTCTGCTGTGGAAGCTTGCTGGGTGACCTTTGGCCTGTCACACACTCTCAGCCTAGTTGTTGTGAGGATGAAACAGAGGAGAACAATGTAAGCCCCTTAGGTGTTGTGAGGATGAAATAGAACAGTGTAAGCTTTGGGTCTGCATTGGGGAGAAAGATGGGTATAAATGAAGTAAATTAATAAAGAAAATATTGTTAAATTAAAAATTCTTACAGGATGCACCGAAGTCCTTGGCCATGCCTAAATGAGACCCAGGCTTTAGCAAATAATTTAATCCAGGTTTTTTTCATAAGGCTACTAGAAAATATTCCAGAATCAACAATCAATGTTGGAAGAATAAATAGTGGTTTGGAAATAAGTTTATTTTGTAAATAAATACTTTTATTTCAATGGATTTCATGTAAATTCAAGCGTGTTTTCAAATTTTTGATGTATGAATATCATCAGGCACAATTGTATGGATTACAGGGAAAGCCTAGTGCTCCAGAACTTCAGAGAGTCTGCAGTTGAAGCCAAGCACCAGGGGCGGGCTGGAAATTTAATTTACAGGGAAATTTCTCAGTGGGTCACTTGGCTCAGACCCTCCATTGGTAATTGTAATTATCATCACTGTCACACTGCACAACCAGTATTTGGGAGGAAGCATTGTGTGAGCTAACACTCATTATTTGCTTTGTAGGCCTACAGAGACCACTCAGCTTCGCTTGCTTCAGGGTCATTTTCAGTTCCCAGTCTGCTTCTGCCAAGACCTGTCTTACTTAGGAAGTACAGAAGATAATCTGGATGTATATTTAATAGGGGAAAGTGACACTGCCTTGTCAAGAAGGCATACAAAGAAAAGGTTGAGATTGAACTGTTTGTTTGCAGTGGTGTGATAACCTGCATGGCAGAGTAACGTGTGTGCTCTTTCACTTAGCCCCTGGAGGATAGTGGATGACTGTGGGGGTGCCTTCACAATGGGAGCCATTGGTGGTGGGATCTTTCAAGCCATCAAAGGATTCAGAAATTCCCCAGTGGTGAGTGAAAATAATTTCTTGTGGATAAGAGTTTTGGTTATATTCTTATTTGCTATGAAGGGTTTTACAAGTAAAAAATTGCAAAATAACTAAATGCAAATTGCTATTGGAATATAAGGGTGAGTAGAATGTACCCTTTCCCCATTCTGAAACCTTTCTATTGTAGTTTTTTTCTATAATTATCAACAATATATAAACAATGCATCTAGACCTTCAAGGTCCCCCCCCGAACAATTAGATGCTCATAGGTGAATTGGAGGATAGAGCTACATGAGAAGAAAACCTTGGTAAACCTGAGTTGCTCAACACTTAATTTGCCTCTTATATCTACAGACCTGGCAAATTAAAGTGGTTGGGATTGGGAATGAATCATCTTGGTCCCAAGAACTTCTGAGAGATCTCAGGATTAAAACCAAGTGTCTCTGTTGAAGTTAAAACAAACTGTTAAAGAGTGAATATTTTTGGCTTCAGTTGTTTTCATTTATTGCAGGGTGTAAATTATCGATTGCGGGGTAGTTTGACAGCAGTTAAAACCAGAGCACCACAGTTGGGAGGTAATTGTCCTATTTGTATATTAATAGATTCCTACATGGATTTAAATGGAAACTGATAGATGTTATGATGGGACATAATGTCTTAGATTACCTACAATATATAATGTTCTTGTGTAATGAACTGGAATATATTTCCATTCCTAGAGTAGTTGAAGAATTGACTCCTAATAGGCAGTATGCTGTTCCTTACCTAATTGTAGACATTCATTTATGCCCAATACCAGTTTTCACCTCTAACCTCTTTGTTGCATCATGCCACTTTTAGGGACGTACACACATACATGCTGCTTTATGCTGAATCAGAGCACAGTTAGTATTGTCTACTCAGACTAGCAGCAGCTCTCCAGGGTCTCAGGCAAAGGTCTTTCACATCCCCTGCAGCCTCGTCCTTTTCACTGAAGATGCCAGGGACTGAACTTGAGATCTGCAGGCCAAGCAAATGCTCAGCCACTGAGCTATAGCCCCTTAACACCATAAAATATGTAGTTACATTTTCTGGAAGAGCATAGTTGAGAATTGCATAATGTTATTAAGGTGATATATTCATAAAAATATTCCATTTACTATATAGAAGAGACGGTTTCACATAATTAGGTGTGTTTAAATCCTATGGCAGTTTCATATAATTAGGTGTGTTGAGCTTTCACACAAGGAAGGGCACATGGAAGATTGCTGTCATGTTAGAATTATTTGCCAATTATTAGAAGGTAAACAGAAAACACAGGGTGACCTTAAGAGAACATAAATAAGGAAACAATTATTAGTACTGTTTTAAATAGTTCTGATGTCTAAATAAACTCCTTTCCATATACAGGTAGCTTTGCTATCTGGGGCGGCCTCTTTTCCATGATTGACTGCAGTATGGTGAAAACAAGAGGAAAAGAAGATCCTTGGAACTCCATCACCAGTGGTGCCTTAACAGGAGCCATATTAGCTGCAAGAAGTAAGGCTGGTAGTGTAGCGTGAATGCTCACGAAGTACTGTCATATCTCTCAAATTATTGAAATACGTAACAGTCGTATACCCTTACTCCACATGTCTGTCCTTTTCCAGTGTTTTGGACTAAGTTTATAATGTTAAGTATACAACATACAGTTTTGTGACACCCTTACAAAAGTTTAATTTCTTATATTTTAGCACTGACAGGAAACATACAACCTGTTCTAGAAATGCACTTTCTCGCTCCTATGCCTCTCCCCCCAAGATGTATAACACTAGTGAATTGTTTGAAATTTGGAAAACTAATAACCTTGTTAACAGCATGCAAGACAGTATGTAATCTATCTCATCATTATAAACTTTTTTAAAGACAACTTTTTCTTATGCTGCCTATTTTAGATGGACCAGTTGCCATGGTTGGGTCTGCAGCTATGGGAGGAATTCTTCTAGCTTTAATTGAAGGAGCTGGTATCTTATTAACAAGGTTTGCATCGGCTCAATTTCCAAATGGTAAGATGTCTGCAGTAGTGCAGGGTACAATGTTTGTAATTTTCCCTTACAGCTTTATTAATGAATTAACAATTGGCCTTCCCTTGAGGTAAGCAGAGGCTATTCTGAAATGTAGATAGAGCTTTAAGAAAAACTGGGTTTGTCAGGAAAACTAAGACGATATAATAATGAAGAGCTCTGACTGTTTTAATAGGAATAGACCATAGAGGCCTAGGACCTAATTCACTTTGATATTCCACTGCTGCTATTTGTTAAAACCTGCAATGTTTTTGTGTTAAGAATGGTGCATAACAATTTTAGTAATGGTTAAACACTTTGGCCCCTCTCATAATGTTACTTAAAATTAATGCATTCTATACTGAATTTTCATTTGTGCATATTTAATGGGAGTTACTGATGATTCACCATGTACATGGTTACCTGGAAGTCCATGGGTTACATCCAGTGAGTGCTGAGTCACAGATATTTCACACTTTTCTTACTCCTCAGCAATCCCATTGAGGTTGGGGAGGGGACAAAATCACTCCTGTCTTCTCTGCCAATAGAGCTGTGCTGACAGAAGAGGGTTATTTCATTCTCTTTCCTGTCCTCAGTCAGGGCTGGCTCTATCACTAGGCCAGCTAGTGTCTGGCCTAGGGCTCGCCGACCCTCAGGGGCACCAAGCTGCGCCCCCCACGATCCTGCTCACTCCTCACCGCCCCCCCACCCCGTGGCTTCTTCGCACAGCAGAGAGGATGCAGCGGCGGAGGGGGGAGGCAGTAGCATACCTCACCGCCCACCCTGCCTCCGTCTCCTCCTCTCTCAGCAGTCGGGGAATCCCCCCACGGAGCTCCCTTTAAAAAGTAGCCCTGATAGCGGTGGAGTAGCCGCCCCCCTGCGATCCTGCTTGCTCCCCGCCGCCCCATGGCTTCTTCGCCCAGCAGAGGGGCGGGGGCGGCGGCTGGGTGACCCTCCTCCCAGCCTGGGTCTGGCGAAGAGGTCTCCAGGCTCCGCCGGGAGGTTGGCATCTGCACTCGCCTAGAGCGCAGGACCACCTCAGGCCAGCCCTGTCCTCAGTGTAGCCCTCTCTAACCCATGTGGCTGTCAGTCCATGTGCATCCCACAACTTTAGGTATCACCTTCTCAGACTTGTGCCCATGGGATGATAAAATATGTTATCAAATAAGTTTTTAATAATATCAAACTGGGCACCTGAAGACAGTTCTCTTAATCTGAAGAATTTTGCTAACTTCTGTGATTTGGGACAAGTATTTAGGATGCTGCAAGAGATGTTAGTATGTCATGAGAAAATTAAAGGCATCCATGAACCCACATTTTAATCTACGCAGAGAGAGCTGCCTGCTACCTCTTTCCATGTACTTATTAATTTGGCCTTACTGCCTAATCACTTTTCACTTCAAAGAGCACTCAAGGAGGCATATTCATCAAGACGGTATTCTCCTAAAAACACAGGGGTGGGTCATTCAGATGCATTCTAAAAGAAAACTTTATTGGATATGAAAGTGAAGGGTGCCTCTGAGAATTGTTGGTTACTGTTTGGTGTACAAGCAGCAGAAAATAAGACACCATCTTCTCATAAAGCGAAAACATTCTTCCAGAGCAGCATCTTGCTTACTGTCAAGTACTTCAAACTGGCTTAACTCTGGCTGGATCTTACCCTTTTAAGCTTTCCTGAACTAAGACAATGAGGCTCAGTGATTGATACAGAAGAAGTAAACAACAGTGGTTCTCTGTGATGGAGAACAGTGAGATTTAAAAGTGGATAGCTAAATCAGCTTCTGGTAAACAAAGAACACCCTAAGATCAGTGAATGTAAGTTAGGCAGCCTCTGATTAATCCACAGATTGTTCAGCTGTCTTATATAGACTTCACAGCCCTGCTTCCCTACAGTGTCCATGACTGGGGACCAAACAAGTTTGAATTAAACTCAATCTATGTGTGTACTGTTTTGTGGTCAGTCTGTTAATACTTCTGGAGAAATAAGCTAGGTATGACTGAAATGCTCGAGTGGAAAATATATCCAATTGTGACATGCTGCAGAGCACTAATTAGCGAAATGTCTCTGTTAAATTACAGGCCCTCCATTTACAGAAGACCCCTCTCAGTTGCAGCCCTCCCCTTTTGGAGACTACCGACAATATCAGTGATTTCTCGTATTCTTCTGTTCCATTTTGTCACTCTTAAAAGAACAAGCATCAGTTGAAGACCTTCCATTGAATGTGTACACCCAGATGTTCATGCAAGTGCTTTTCCACAACATTTAGAACATCCACAAATAGCAGAAATCTTACTGTAAAGCAGATGCAGGATATCCAGTATAGCTCCTTGTCGTTATCTCCTTTGACAAGAAGACTAACCAGAGTATTGTACCGGCTTGGTTACAACTGCAGAAAGAACTGAACCCATGGGCTTTACAGTATGGCACTGAGCATACTGGTGCTATTGACTAGGCCAAGGATGCACTGAACCAAATGTCTGAAGGCGGCACGCAAGAAACGAACTGTAGGTGCCTCAGTCAGAAGGCAGATAAGGAGTATACGAATAGGCTAAATAAACAAGCCAAGACAACTCGGATGGGCTGCTTTTGTTTTTATATCAGGCTATTCGAATGAAGGACTTATTGGGAAATCCATTGAAACATTACAGGGAACACTTTTCTCACTTCATAGTATAACAAAGTATACTGCATAGTACATTGACTTTCTTGGAAATTGTCCTAGGCTGTAAGACTACTCAGCTTTGATTCCCGCCCAAAGTCTATCCCAGGGGTCCACAACCACAAAATGGCTGTTGCAGGAGGTTGAGCCACACTCAAAGGAAGCCCAAGGGCAGGGAAGAGGAGGGGTAAATAAAGCCACCATTGTGTTGGCAGCTGCCAAAGAAGCAGTATTATTTTAACCTACATACCCAATAACATCCTTCTAAAAATACTTCGCTGGCACCACGTTGGGGACCCCTGGTCTATTCAGTCGTCCCCCCCCCTCCCGTTTCTAATTCATTGACTGCCTTGTATTCCAAACATCTTGCTGTTTTTTAGTGGAGTTTCTAGGTAAATTATGAATCTGCCTATCACTGTTCAAGGCAAGAAAATATCTCCTTTCCTACCTGGCTGCCTTGTAGGATAAAAAAAGACCACTGACAATTTCAGGCATTATGCTGTTGTCATGGTGCTCTTAGCTGAGTAGGTAATGATCCCATTTGCTCAAAAATGACTGTTTTCCAAAGTATGCTTGTAAAATGTGCACAGTGGAATAAACTTAATTACTGCTGCTAATTCAGCTGTCTTTGTTTTTCCTTCAAGCTGTGCTTAACTATAAGTGTACTCTTCCCTTTGAAGCACTCCTGGCACCTACTTTTTTAGATGTTTTAATGGTTGGTTTGATGTTGTGTGCTGCTTTTTCATATGCAATTTCTTCAAAACTCCTGGACCTGTACTCTACCACTTTATGCAGGTGGGAACTCCTATGACTGAATGCCTGCTATACCTACCATGAGAGAGTTTTCTATATACATGGAAACGCCGATCTGCATCCATTTTAGGAAATTTGTTCTATGCAACCTGTTGAGTTAAACATACTGGCCCTAGTTTTGGTACATTCCTCGGTCTCTATATGCACTTTTTGTTACTGCAAACAACTACTACAGGATAATTCCACAATCTGTTTAAATCAAATTACGTAAAGAAGATGAACAAGGTAAAGAGGTCAAGTGTGGACATCTGTTGCTCCAACATATACTGCATTAGAGATATCAGATTATACAGCTGCTATGCAACAGTCAACAGCTGCTATGTTTACCCTTGTAAAATACACTTGCTGCAGGAGTATTCTTTTACAAGTATAAGACCTTTCCTACCTGACAAGTCTTTGGAATTGCTACAGACATCAAGAGCTATTAATTTAAAAATGTTTATTGCTCAAACATCTGAACATCTCTTAATTTCCCCTAGTTACCAAACTGAACAAAATTTTTGTTATGCATATACCCCCCAACACAAAATACTGAATACATCTGCTGTTTCTCATTTGAAAATTACATCTAAGCAATAAATCTCTATCATTATTCCAATTATAATGGAGTCCTTTTGCAATACAGCTATATTAATAAATCCCCCCCAGTGATAAACATTTCAGATTTTTTTGGTTACTTTCATTAGTTGTCTAAATTTCTCTCAGTTGTTACATGCTTGTTTTTACTACTTAATATAATTTTAATTTCCCCTTTTGTCCAAGCAAACTTCACACTCCTTCTAGAGAGGTCCGGACATCTGAGTCACAGAGTTAATTTATGCAATATTTTCATTTACCCTCAAATAGCTTTTCCAGTTCCATTTCACACCTATATTTGTGTTAATAAAAATACCTACCTCATAGGAGCTACAAAGATTTTGTGCAATAAAATCTGTTACTACAGCAGGGCACTTTAATCACTGGTTGCAAAAATGCCTCTACTGTCTCACTTGTTTTTCTTTACATACTCTCTAGTATTCTATTTGCTAACCTGAGTAGCTGTCTGCATTACTACTTTGTTACTGCAGTTAAAACAAACCACATGTACTCAAGATTGCTTGATTGTACCAGAACATGCAAAACGACTGCTTTCTCAGGAGTACTGTCCCAACCCTTTCTAGTCCACACTATTTAGGAGTGTAACAAAAATTTTCTTCTATTAGACTGAGATCTACAAAAAATTATTTGAGATGTCAAACTCATCTTCCTTAAGTGGTGAAGATCCTTGAACTCACTGCAGGAGACTGAATTCCTCAAGTTTCCACTCACTGTGCTCATAACTACTTTTTGTAGGGCTCCCAAATCTCGCCAAATCACGGCGGGGGATCCGCATGTCTTCACAGAATCCGTGCCGCGGGGACGACGAGACGCATTGCACCCGCCATCGCCAGGATTTTACACAACGCGTCGCTCTGTCAACGGGGCTGTTTGGAGCCCCGTTGACAGAGCGACGCGTTGTGTAAAATCCTGGCGATGGCGGGTGCAATGCGTCTCGTCGTCCCCGCGGCACGGATTCTGCGAAGACATACTATCCTCCGCCGCGACTTGGCAACCCTAACTTTTTGAGATTAAGGGTAGGTGCCCATGCTGTACCTATCTCCTTGACATTAACTACTTCAGTCAGTTTCTCTTGCAGATTTGGATCCACCCCTTCCCTAAGAGTTCTAAAACACAGCCTTAGGGATTAAACAAACCTTCCTAGGCACACGGAGAATTAGCTACGCTACAGAGACAGAAGATAGGCAGATTTTCCAGGCGCGATCACAGCGCCACATCTGGGAAGCGTAGAGCTCCTGTGGCGAACCCGAGGCTTCCCGCCGAAGATGTGGGGTAAAAAACTAGTACCTCCGAGGTACTCGTTTCCGGAAACCGCGGGGCAAGGGCTGGCGCCTGATCGTGTTTCCGGTGGTAGGTCGTGGCATCCGGCGCCCACCCATGTCCCATCGCTAAAAGGTTCCCCCCCAAGTCTCCACGGAATGCGCACAAGCACCCAACGGCGCATGCGCACACTTCGTTTAAAAACAAACAACACAGCCCCCTCCTCTTTTCCGTACCCCCCCCACTCCTGGCTTGGCCTGCTCGAGAGGAAGTCTCTGCACTGGGCAGCAGAGGGGGAGGTACAGGGTGGGCGTGGCGGGAGGGCAGCCCAGCTGAAGCTCCTCCTGGAGGGGACCAGACGGAGGACACAGATTGCATTCCTCTGCAGCCCTGGAAGGGGTTAAACCCGCGGAGCCTTTTGCTAGAAAGGCTGCTTCTTTGCCACGCCGCAGGATTGTCCTGTGATCGGCACCTCCCCCCTAACCACAGGACTTCTACGGGACGTCTGATCGTGCAGTCGCACGTTATTTTGCTCTGGGGCAAACAGACACGCTCCCCCCCCCCCGCATTTTCCTGCCCGTGTGACCGGGGCCCTAGTTAGGTTTCAATGCTTCTAAAAGCTACAGGAAAAAAATCACCCAGGTGGACTCAATGTGGCTACAAAAACTATTTTGGAAGATGGAAAAACAAGGCAAATAAAGGGACAGCTGCAATACCCTCCTAATGGCTGAAGCTAAGAAATTCCCCTGGGGCACCAAAGGAACACATTTTTATCTCAAGATATGCTAATCTTGTGCCCCTCTGACAGGGCAGTGGCAGAGCAAGTGCTGGCCATAGCACCTGCAGCATGGGACTCATGGCACTAGGCAAAAGAAGGACAATCTCTTCTACTTTCCATTGAGCAGAAAGTACCACATGCAGAAGTACAAGTTCCCAAATGGAACTGTCCATTGTGGAGCCATGCAGGACCCAGCTCATCTCAGATGTTAAAACAACAGTCCATGAGCTTGTTCTGGCAGAAACACCGTTAGGTTTGCAGAGCTCGTCACAAAAAACGACTCTCCTAGCTAGAATGCTGCTGTTATTTGCAGGAGATTATTCTGCAACTTAATTGCATTGTCTCAGTCATAAAGCTTTTGGTGAAGGAGTAACAGAACTGATATGGTTTTAGTATGCCTGAGGTAGATTGCACCAGTCTATTTTGTTCAGCCTTCTTTGGAGTAGCTGCGATGGAGGTGAGGTTATGGGGCAGAATCTCTGAAACACAGCATGCCAGGTGTGAGGAAAGAACAGCAGGACTCTTATAAAACCACTGCTGGGTAGGAATAGCTGCAAGTCCTGTCCTTAAACACTATATCTCTAATTTCCCATCAGCTTGATAACCTGGCAGGGCATTTTGCTCCTCAGTGAAAAACTTGGTAGAAAGAACCATGTCAACCGTCGCTACCTTGGGAGGTTTCACATCAGCTTTCCTCTCTGAAAAACAATTAAATGGATCTGGAGGACTAGTGATTTTCTTGCCATACAGAACTGGCCCTTCAAGTGATCCACTGGACTGCATTTTAGTTGCTTAGCCTATTTTGCAGCGGCAAATAATGCAGAGGACTCCTTTTACATCACAAGGGAAAACCTGGGCAACCACCTCTGCACAGCGATCCACATGGCACCAGGTTGCCCCTGTCCCTCCACCGACTTCTGTCAAGTCTGAAGATTTATGACATTCACTCTGACAGGGAAGAGCACTGTAACAGAAGTGCTGACTCCTTCAGACAGATTAAAGGAGCTGATCTTACTTTTAGGAGGCTAGTTTGGGGTGCATACCAGCTCCCAAAAGAATGTTAAATCCCTGGAGGTGGTTTAGGCTAACTTCATCTATATTCAAACAGCTTAATCTCTACTCCCCCCGCCCCTCACAAACTCAAGCTGAGGCTGAAATAGAACTGGAATGGATGTTCAGCATGTTTAGGCTTGGCAGCATACAGTACATGTATTAGTATTAACTGAAGCCATATTTTACACCTGGTTTGAGCAGGGAGTACTCAATTTAATGTAAGCCTACAAAGCCAAGCACATATGGACTCCCTTGTAAAATATGATACAAAGTTCTGAGCAGTTCATGTAACAAAAAACTGCACACTGGCAGAGGTAACCATCTTCCATCCTGTCCACCAAATGCACCTCTTCAACTGCAACGGGCACAAAAACAAAGGCAAAGTCATCTAACTAGACTACAACCTAAGAGCAAGCACAAAGGAGAAAGGCTAGAAGCAAACTTCAATGGGGTAAGGAGCTGGGAGGGCCTCTTATAAAGAAGATGAGCTTTCCCCAAAGACCAACAGCTGGAAAAAAGGTCCAGCTCATAACTTCTGCTGGCAAAGAGAAAAGAACCTTCCCCCCCCATTACACTGGACATGTTAATAAGGAAATCCTACAGGCGAAGTGGATTAACAGCTCGAATTCCCTAACTTCCAGCAGCAGGAAGCTACTCCACAGCAGACAGACAATCTCATTAAAGGGGACTGGAGAAGCTTAAGCACAATGTTTCTAAAATGCCAAAGCAAGTCCACCCCTTTGAAAATTCTTAGACAAAGCATATCCCAGGCACATGATAAGTACAGAAGGCTACCCTGCCAGGATCGGCCTAGTAAGGATTATCTAGGAGGTAGAGAGAAGGGCGTACAGTTGCTGATCTGCCACAAGCCATCAAGGGAAGACACCCACCATTACGCTTCCCCAACATGGTCACAGCACTGAGAACCATGCAAGCAACTTGATACGTGCAGCTGGATTTTCATTTCTCCTACTTTCCCTCTTTCTTCCAGAAGCCACTCTGCCTGAAAGCACAAAATGCTTTTTAAACTCAGGAGCTTCAAACACAGTTAGGAATGCCATGAAAGAGGGTGTTTTGTGTGTGTGGGGGGGTGGGGGGTGGAGGACCCACTAGGCCGGACGACTGCAGGGAACATGGACACTAGCAATGCACTTCAGTCCAGATGTTCACAGGGCCAAAATACAGAAGCGTAAAACATTCCCAAATGCCAAGCCTTGCAGGCCCTGCAAGATGTTTTGTGGGGCTCAAGGGAGGAAAAAACCCATTCAGTCCCTCCAGGGGGAAAAAAATTACCTGCAGGCATTCGAGCTGAACCCTTGAACAGCCCAGCATTAAAAGTTACAGACGTTTTATTTTAGTCACCGTGGCATAAAAGCAACAGCAGCTCTACAATCCTCTAAACACTCCACTTGTAATACTATGTATAGCTCTCCAGGAACGATATGCTGGAGGGATCGCAACTTTTTTTTTTAAAGCTTATTAAATATTAAATACTCTTTTTAGGCATACATTACTTTTGTCAAGAAAGAGACAAATCTCTAGTTAAATGGCCCTATGCATCCTCCTCTGAGCTCTCCTGCTGTGAGCTGCCAGCGCCCTGCGACTCAAATGCAACTCGTCTCCTACAGATCCAAAGGAGAAATGGGTATCTGATGGGTCACAGACATTTAGAGTTTCTTCAAGCATGGGGTATGTGTGCAGCATCAAAGAGCCGGTAACAAGCCCCTTTCCTTTTTTTGCCAGGTGCCAGAGTTTTTCTAGTGTCCAGAAAACTGCCAATGTAATTCCTGTGAGCAGTCAACTCACTTGTCAAGAAGGGACTTGCTTGCTGCTGCTGGAGGCACTTCCACCCATTGGACACTGTTGGCAAACCACCCCCACCCCCCATCCCATCTTCCTGAGAGAAGGAAAGCCAGGAATGGCCATTGCCAATGCTGCAGGTTTTGTTTTTAAAGTTCAGTCTTCTTTTGATTTTAGCAAAGAAGTAATTTTAAAAGCACTTGGGAAGCTTGTACCAAAGTCCTCTAAAGTTCTCAGAGAAGAGAGTCGTCAGTACATCCTCCTTCAAGTCCATAACGGAATTCCTGCAAATTGGAGACTCCATAGAAATGGACAAAGGCTGCAGCCACCACCAGCACGTGAAAGATCTGGTGGGACTGGAACTGTGGAAATGTAAAAGATGTGTTAAAGACTAGACAAACACATTTTGCAGTCATTCAAGCAGGGCCTTCTTTAAAGAGTCCAAGTTGAAATCACACAACATAGTTAAACAGTTGATAAGGCATTTTCTGCATTATCACAAGGGAATTCACCAAAAGAAGTTTGTTTGGGACTAACCAGTTGGTTCTAACTTCCTGTTCAAAAGAGAAAGCTCTTTTGTGTATACTTTTACAAAAGTATGTTGTGGGAAACTAATCTAGTAATAGGTTCCTAATAAGACTTTTGTGGAACACATATATGTACCTGCACCATACCTTACAGGATGCACAAAACTGGTGTTCTGTAGTCACTAAAAATAATGAACTCTATATCCAGTAATGTAAAAAGGAATCCTTAAGAGCACAAAGTAACTTCACAAGCAAAAATGCTGAAGCAGCTGCTGCAGCCAACACTCCTGGATGGCCAATGTTGCCTCCACGGCCAGAGACACAAAGCTACAACCTAGTGGTTCCCTGGCCATTATTCAAGCACTACCAGAAAAGCCACAGCAGATGACAGTCCCTAGCAAAGGCCACACTTACCCAGATGTCAAACTTGCCAGGAAAGAAGCGCTCTGGAATTCGGGCAGCATACAGTCCAGCTCCTGTTATGTACATCATGGCCATAAGGAAAAACCAGCCCATCTGGCCCATAGTGGTGGCTTTCACAAATCCTTCTGCTATGGTGAAATGCATGGTGGGGACCACACCACTCAGCCCCAGCCCCAGGAACACCCCTGTGAAAAGAACAGCAAGATCTGTTAGCATTTAAAAGTGCTTCAGGAGCTTCAAACACAAGTTAGCGGGCAAGGATCTGTTGCTTTTTTTAAAAAAAAAAAAAAGGAAAGAAACCCTGGTAAACAGTCTTGGGGGTATTCTGGAGAGTTAACAGGGTCCTGGGAAAGCTGCTGTGAACATTTCCAGATTCAAGTTCTAGCTCCCACACCTTGCGTGTGTGTGAACCATGTATAAAAATGGGCAAGCCAAAGCAAGAACAGCCTACACTACTGCCACAGTTAAGGAGGAGAAATAAGTTGGGTTTCAGGAAAAACAGGGTTGCACTTTCCCGTAACTGTTGTTCATCAGGTGGTATTCTGAGCAGGCACACACTAACTGTGTCTGTACAGGCCAGCCACGGAAAAGATTTCCAAAGCTTTCCAGTAGGCTAGGAGTGCCCCTCCTCCCCCTGGTGCTTTCCTGCCAAACAATCATATGACCAGGAAGAGAAGGCTGGCAATTACCCCCCTCCCAACTGCATGTCATATTTGAGGAAATCTGTTTCAATGTACATGAAGAAGTGTGCACACGCTGTGTCTCTATTCTCCCATGTACACAGGGTTGAGCTTGGTTTCTCTTGGGGGTACTGCTGGACTCTAGCTTCATTCTCACATCTCCTGGTTAACTCTTGCATTTACATGCTAATTTGCTGCTATCTGTTGATCTTACCGGCCACCTGATCCAATTTCAGCTAGGCATATGCATCTTGGCTCTGAGTGGCCCCTCCTAACGGCTGCCCCCTACCCTCTTTTTCCCTGTAAGTAACCCTTGAGGAGATCTTATTCCATTTGTCTGAAGAAGTGTGTTTTGCACATGAAAGCTTACACTTTGAATTAAACTTTGTCGGTCTTAAAGGTGCCACTGGACTCAAACTTTGTTCTGAAGGCTGCTGTGTCACTGTGTTTCAGCCTTTAGAACTAGGCATTAACAAGAAGGCTTGGAGCCAAGATCACCAGAGATTTGTCAACAGAGTGAGTGGTAAAATAAAGCTCAGCAGGCCTTAAGCATATCTAGGCTGTTGTCTCCCAACAGAACTAACAGCAAGAACAGGAAACTCCACCCACTTGGCAACTCTCCAAAACTACAGGGGGTGAAGAGGTCCAAACAACCCCAACTAAAGGGCACAATACCTTACTGATACATAAACACCTTTCACTAAGAGCCATGGAGAACTGTAAGGCTTTGTTAACCCATGCTTCCAAGGATTTCACCTTGAACGGAGGGCAGCCAGGAAAAGGTTTCTTCAGTCAGACATAGCTAAGCTTTAAAACAGGCCACACCTCCAGGTTTCTGGTTGGATCTGACAGAAGGCAGAGACGAAAAAGGTTTCATTCAGTCAGGCAGTCTGCCAGGCCACACCTCCAACCTTCTTCCCTCCGGAACCCAGAGAAGGGAGAGGGGAGGGCCTCCAGTCAGGCAGCCTCTGCAGGCCAGGTTCTCGGATTCGAGAGACACCAAGGAGGGGAAGGAATTCCTTTAGTCAGGCAGGCAACAGCCAAAGCCTTAGAAAAGAGCCGTTCTGAATCAGAGGCTCTGTCAGGCAACACCTCCAGGTTTTTACCCTCAAAGCAGACGAAGCAAAGGAGGGGGAATGTGCCTTTATTCAGGCTGGTGCACAGCCAAAGCCTTTGAAAAGAGCCAGTGAATTCAAGGCTCTGTCACATCACACCTCACTAGGGAGGGGGAAGGTGCCTTTATTCAGGCTGGCTTTCGGCCAAAGCCTTTAAAAAAGAGCTCTTTTGATTTCAGCTCTATCAAATCATGCCTTCAGGGGAAATTGGTGACAGAAAGAGCAGGCAGCTCTGTTGTGTGGACCTCTTGGCAGATAAGGCACAGAGAATGGCCGTTGAACAGCACCATTCTAAAGTGACAGTTGGCCCAATCCTAAAGAGGCCCTGTTTGAGCCATAATGACACAGGGGAAATTCAGAAACATTTCTTCTTTAAATGTAGTTTATTCTCCACTAGAATTAATACTGATGAAAAAAAAACTTCTGACAGAAATATGTCTTCCTAGCCTAAAGAATGAGGTTAGGAAAAAAACAGAGATCAGCAGTGGAGATCATCTCTTTGTGGTAGCAAAAAGAGAACAGAGGGAGTAGTGCCCTTCCTCCTGGTAATGTGGTCATTTTTGGTGGGAATGCACCAGAGGGAGGAGGGGCGCTTCTAGCCTATTAAAAAGCTATGGAAATCTTTTCTGAGGCTGGCCTGTGTACTCCCAGTGTGGGACTGCATGAATCTAATATTTGGCCATTGTAGGCTGGGGGCCCTTTTGAACATGGAAACTGAAAGCCTAGAAGTAATGGTGGTTTTGGAAATAAAACTACAGTTCATGCTCATTGCACTCCAGATGTTCACATGCAAGACCTGACAAGATGCAAACAACTTCATTCAAACTTCGCCTATTTCCCCAGATTGCCTATCACTTCTGCTTGGGCATCCAGCCTGCTCATCTCTACACTTCAATCCCCTTTGCAGGTGAAAAAAAGAAATGTTACATACTTTCACTTTCAACAATCCCTTTTATCAAAGTCTGAACATGCTGTCCAAAAGCTTTTTCACTCCAGGCAACTCAAAAGATCCTCAAAATTGAAATACTATTTTTTAAAAAGGGCTTCAACCGCCACTATTTATCTGAAATCTGTTGAGGTATAAATCCCTAGGACTGCATTTTACATCAGCTGAAATCCATCCTACCTGCTCTTGTTTGCCTGTGCTTAGGTGTTGCAAATCTGTCCCACTGTGCAACAATGATTGCTGAGATACCCAGCACACACACAATGGAGAGGTAGATAAGTCGAGGCTGCGGAGAGCAGTAGAAAGAATAGTACAGCCATGGAACAAAACTCCCCATAATTAGCAGAGCTATTCCGGAATAATCCAACCTAGGGTGGGGGAACCAAAAGACACAGAGGATGTGTTGTGAGTTCTGGAATTTAAGATTAATTATATTCCCTTAAAAAGAAACACCAAGGCATTTATTTATTTATTTATTTAGTCCTGTTTATGCCACCCATCTAAGAAAAATATATTCAAGGTGGTCCACAAAAGCCAATGCAAGCAAACACCATACAAGAAAACAATCAACAATAAAAGTACCCAGCTACCTCTGCTGCTCCACTGCTGCTGCTGAAAACACTTTCCATGGCAGTGAGAAACCGGGGGCTTTGTGACCAGAGCCCCATCCAAGTGTAATGAACTTTAGCTACACAAAATTTTGTTTTTTAATGACTTAATTTAATTAACCATTTTAAGTGTGGTCTAGTTGGTTCAAAACTTCATTTTGAAGCTATGCCTCCAAAGCCTTTAACCTGTTTCCTGCATTTGCCATTAACCTGTTTACTGTCAGTGAAATGATGAATTTTCTTTTTGTTCCAAGGTGTTAATAGGTTAGTGCCCCTTATCTTTGTTCCCATTTATCCCATCACATGCTCTGGTCCCAGTCTGGGCAGCCCATCACTTTGATTTCCTCTGGACCAGCCAAGCAGGAAGACCATGATGGGACTTGCATGGGGAATGATTTTGGTAACCCCCAAGGCCAGAAGATCAAGAAGTACCATTCTAGGCTCTCCAGCCACATCAGTTTCTGAACTAAGATAGGAGCAAATCATAGCCCGAAAACATCTGCGAATCATAGTGGCTAAAGCCAGTTTCTTCTATTATGCTCTGCCCAACAGATTTGACAGGGCTTCAGTGTACTTTAAAGAACCATATCTAGACAACAACTCCAGCTTAGACATTTCTTCATATCATAACAAAAAGGACTTAGTGTTTCAATGAAAAAAAGGTTACCTGAGAAAAGAGCCTTGTGGAACAAAAGTTACATCTTGTCACATCTTTATTATTCCAACTGACTTACTTGGAAAATGTCCGAGACACCTTTTCTGAATGACAGTAGACTGTATGAAAAAGCCAGGAAAAGCTGAGACACAGCACTGCTCCAAGGAAGAACATTCCAAACACCACCTTTTCCTGAAGAGGGGCCATGAAGTACATATTTGGCCTAAGCATGGTCAAAATTCCCAGGCAAAGAAATAACACAAAGCCTGTAATTGAGATACAGCAGAGTCATGTCAGCCAAATTTGTCACAGGAATGAGAAGTCTTATGCCAAAATAACCATAAGGAAATGAGACCCCAGCAAAGGACTAAGCCTGGGACCTCTGTTTTTTCCCTTTTTTTGTTTGAAATCTGCAGGATGGGTGACAAATAATTGCAGATTAAATGGTGTGTGTGAGTGTAATGCTAAAGCTTAGGAGCAACATTTGCCACAGTAGGGAAGAAGCACAAGTTCTCAATTAATTTTTTTACAGGCCAAACTCACCTGTACACCAAATGGAACAGTCACTATGTATGGATTCATCTACCAATTTTGTAAATCAGAATTTAAAACTACTACATCTGTACCGCTACAAGCTTCTAAACCAGCAAAAAGATGCATGAAATGTTCCATACAACTCCATTTGTTTAGAACAGCACTTTGATCTAGCGACTGCCATCAACAATGAATCTGTTATTTGGCTAAGGGCAACCAAGAATGACAGGGCAGTTGCTACTCTATTATTTTTAGGCTTCAGGCTATGGCCAATAAAGCCGTATCATTGAAGGAAGGAAGGATACCAAACTACTTTATTATTTGTTGAGTTTTAGTGTATTTTTACTACGGATATTATTTTTTTTAACAGGAATTACCGTGAGCTTAATGGGAAAGTAGAACATAAATGTTTTTAATTAAAACTAACAAGGCTGGAGGGCCATTACATTTTACATTATATGACATCTAATTAGGATACCTTGTGGAGCATTCCATACAAAAACAGTGTTTTATGGAAGAAAGAGCTTGTGGCCATTCAGATCCTCTGTTTCTATTGCTTCAAGGTAGGGAGAATTTGGTAGAAAGCTATTAAGTCTATTATGACGCACATTGTGCCTAGCTATGCTTAGGTGCTTTTCAAGGTTCAGTTGCAGGACTTGCCCTAATCATGCCCTTGCACCCTTCTCTGTTATTCCTGTAGCCTAGTAGCTATTCCTCTTTCAAAGTATTTAAAGCAGTCTACAGAAAAAGGTTACCACTCTTTACCTCTGGGAAGAGTAGGTGCTTTTGACATTAAACATTAATTTTATGGTTTTAGGACAAGAAAGCTACTAACATAAAATTCTCCTGGAAATAACCACAACTCTCCAGATCCCAGCATAGGAAAAATAATTAGTCAGCTTTGAATGTATGTTCCTCTGTCCTTGAGAAACCCAAAAAATCCCCTTTGCTTGAAATGCCGAGATGAAAGGCAACACCAAGGTGGTTTGCACATTTCTGTCTTCTAAAAAAGCTGGATTTTAAGTTGCAGAACCCAAGCGTGAACTCTCCCTCTAGGGTTGTCTTCTGCCACTAACTTTTATCGGGCCTGCTCCCTGTTTGTGCATTTATATGCCTATTGTTTAATTGTTTTTTTAAAAAATTATATATATATTTTATACACACACACACACACACACACACACACACACACACACTAGGAATAAAGCCCGTTGTGGAAATAAATACAACGAGATCTAGAAAGAGGCTCTGGGGGAGTGCTCTGGCTTTGGGCAAACAGTGTCAATTTGCTGTGGTGACCTCAGCAGGGTATAATGACAGAGTCCACTGTTTTCTCCAGAGGAACTGATCTCTGCTACCTGAAGAGCAGTTGTAATTTTGAGTGATCTGTAGCCCTCACCTGGAGATTGGCAACAATTGTTACCCAGGACGAAATGGCTGGTTTGGAGGGGGGAGTCTATGGCATTCTACCTGGCTGAG